AGCCAAAAAAGGATTCATTCCTCATAATAGATTAAGAGAGAACATTCTACTTCTCATATCTAGATGGATCATAAAGTAATTGGGCCAATGCAAAGATATATTCGTTTTGGATATCGAATATGATCGTTATGGATCATCTAGAAAGATTGAGAAACAGAGACTAAGTTATTGGAATAGACACAATATCATGTTCTAGACTTGGTTGAATGTTCGTTGAATGAAAGGACCGTATCACTATGAGCTCTATATTACAGGGAGTTTGAATTGTCCTCGCAAACGTCCTTATATATTAAGTTTGTCTGGTAAATCATCTAGGGATTCTACTAAGACCTTAATTTGATTAGTGCTTAATATATAATGCCTATGGGTCACACAACAAGTGATTATACCTTCCGATTAAATTGTTAGAAGGAATTAAATATTATTAATTGGATTAAATAATATTTAATTCATTATGCTGAAAATAAGATGAGTTAATTATTAATTAGATTAATATATTTAATTCATCATGTTGAAGGAGAGTTCTATTTGATAGAATTAATTAAGTTTGATAAATAAGATTTATTATACTTAATTAAGATGTAATTTTAAATAAATAAAGTTGGTATTTTCTTTTATAATTTAGAATTAAAAGAATATAGAAAATGAAATAAATAATAATAATAACAAGCAAAGTGACGTGCAGCCACTTTGATATTATTATTAGTTTATTGTGTTTTACTTATTTAATTAATAAAATCGTTAATGATAAGTATTGATCCTGGTAGGACTAGAACTCATTAATGAGAAAGACTTTCATTGTGATTGGGAAACTAGTTTAGAACTAGTATAAATACATACTTCTCCTTCATAATTGAGTGACCATTTTTTAATATTCGGTATTACTAGTTTATTTCCCTACGAAGAGATTTCCTAGCCTTTCTCTATGGGAGATCTAACCGTTCTTTCAGAAAGGAGAAATCATGTGGATACCTAAGGTCAAGGATTATTACTGCTAGGCTGGAAGATCTGTAAGTTCTAACTCCGATCTGTTATTATTGTTATATTCGTTGTTTTGTCATAATCAAGGAAGCTCTGTTTGGAAAAATTTTAAACTTCCGTTGCCGTACTTTCGAGGTACGTTACATCAATTTCCTAACAGTGGTATCAAAGTCAAACTGATTTTAATGACATTATACGAATTTTGGTTGATTATTTTTCGGTGTGGATCAAAATACGTGTTTCTAGACATAGTATTCTAGCCGAAATCGTTTTTAAAATTTGATTAGATCTGTTTGAGAACAATTTGAGAACTGTATGTGCACATGATTTGAGATCTGTAAGTTGTAACTCAGATCTGTTATTATTGTTATATTTGTTGTTTTGTCATAATCAGGGAAGATCTGTTTGGAAAAATTTTAAACTTCCGTTGTCGTACTTTCGAGGTACGTTACATCAATTTCCTAACGGATGATTCTATTGAAACAACTGACGTTTTAAGCTTGCTAATATTGTATTGTGCGATGCACAAAAAGAATATACCCCTTTATTTTATCTTTGTTCACTTGTTGTTGTCCAATTAAAAGTGCTAGTGTAAGAAACAATTAATTAAATAATAACCAAAAAAAAGATAAATAGAAACATGGATATGTGTGGTTGTACTACATTTACTGTTAAATTATATCGGATATCATTAATGTTTTAAATCCCTCCTGCTTGGTATCACTCCTTATAGGCTCTTTAAGATTAAGAGACATAAAAAAAGTAGGCTAAAGGGTCAAATAGGCCCCTGAACGTATATGAATTGCTCAATTGGCACCCCAAACCCAAAAAAGCTCCGATCCAACCCACCAACCAAATTAAATACTTCAATCCCCCCATCCAACCGGTTACCTCCCGGTTGCCCCCCTTTCAACCAGAAACTGGAAGGTCGGGTCATACCTCCCCAAAAACTCCAAGCTACCATTAATGGCGGAAATCAGAGAGCTCTCAGCCGGCAGGTACCTCAAGTTGCGTCGGCAGAGCGGTGGGGGTTCCCACGACATCGGACCAGATGGATGAGTGGTCAGTGGTTGGCCGCTGATGATGAACGGCGGTGTGGCGGCTCTGGCGGCGGCTGGAGGAGCCAACGACGAGCCACGAGCATCGCTACGGCCGGCGGCGTTTCTCCGGAAATGGAGCGGCGAGACCTGGGGCGCTTCAGAGAGCACCACTTGGTGCAAGTGGCCTTACAGGAGGGTTCACGGTGGTGCAAACGACGACGGCGGCTCCGGCGACCCTTGGTGATAACCCTTGGTGCGCAGTACTGTTCACAGGCGTAAGGGGGACAACCGGGAGGTAACCGATTGGATGGGGGGATTGAAGTATTTAATTTGGTTGGTGGGTTGGATCGGAGCTTTTTTGGGTTTGGGGTGCCAATTGAGCAATTTGTATACGTTCAAGGGCCTATTTGACCCTTTAGCCAAAAAAAGTATTTTGATGAATTTTAGATATTATGAATTTTAGAAGTAATGAACTTTATTTTCGCATTGTTGTGAAAATATTTTGGGTATCAGAAGTATATACATATTATAAGAAAATAAACTACCCTAGAAATATTCTTTTTAAATTTATTAATAAACATTATTCCAACTTTTTATATCTTGTTTCACAATTAACAATGATAATACATCTATGATAAAATAAAGAATAATTACTCCTTAACATTTGTTGTTAGCAAGGGTGTAGTTAGAGCACTTGATTGTGCCGGTATAAATATTTTCTGGGACAAACTTTTAATACAAATTTGTCACAATAATAGTTAAAGTTTTTTTAAATATGATATTTATTTGGGACACCCTATTAACTAATATCAGTTTCGTAATGCATGCAAGCTCATGCATGGTTATGTAGACTAGCAAATAGCAAAACTTTCCTTTGTAATAGTTAGTTACTAATCAGTTGGATTGTTAGGCAGCTTTTTTATCTTTCTCTGATTGTATAAATAGTTTAAATACTGTTGTATTTCGTTCATGGTGAATATACACGTTCTTATCTTCTTCTTCTCCCACCTTCTAGACGCTAATATGGTATCAAATGTAAACAACTATTTCTCTGCGCCTCTATTGATGAATCCTTGAAGCTTCATCATCGTTGTTACTCGTTCAAACACTGAAAGCATTTGATGAATCCTTCTGATCCACTTTTTCTTCATCCCAATGAGAAACTGACCTTGGTTCTTGTTCCAGTTTTCCTCATAGAGAAGAATTTTCATTCATGACGACATCACATGCTTGCGATGCTTGAGTCCAAAACAAAGACCGATTCATTGATGGATCATTTCCTTCACCAGCGCTGACTGATCCTTTGCATGAACCATGGCGTAGATGCAATCGAATTGTCATGACCTGGCTCATGAGATCAATGATTCCTCAAATTGCAGAATCTGTTATCTACTTTGACACAGCTGCAACAATTTGGAATGATCTGTCTGAAAGGTTTTCTCATGGCGATATGTTTCCCATAGCTGATTTACTTGAAGAAATTCAACAAATTCGACAAGGTTCATCATCTGTAACTCAGTACTTTACAAAACTTCAAACCTTATGGAAGGAATTAGAACAGTTTCGTACTCCTTTAGTCTGCAAATGTTCAAATCCTTGTTCGTGTGGAGTTTGAAGAAAATCATCAAGGGACGTGAAGATGAATGTATCATCAAGTTTCTAAGAGGTCTAAATGAAGAGTTTGCACAAACTAGATCTCAAACATGATGATAAATCCAATGCCTGCTTTGACCAGAGCCTTTTCATTGATTCTCCAACAAGAACGAGATTTTGGATCCACAAGATCACTTAATGTCAGTTCATTCAATGTTGTTGTTCAAACTACACCTAAGAATAATTCATTTGCCAGAGGTAATCCTAATTCCTCTCTTGGTAATTTTCAAAACAATCGTGGTGGTGGAATGAACTTTTCAGTAGGAAGAGGCAGAGGAAATAAATATTGTGATCAGTGTGGAAGAACTAATCATACAAGGGATACATGCTTCCAAATCTACAGATATCCTCAGGCTACAAATCAAAACATAACTCTACATCCAATGTTTTCTCTGCTCACATGGCTTCTGTGGATCCCTATGTCAATTCACATTCACAAAGTTCTGAATCTGATCTACCTCAAGACCATTTCACATTTTCTAAAGAGCAATTGCAAGGAATCATGGCACTTCTCCAACAATCTCAAACTGCAATTCAAGATGTTCCCCACTCTGTCAATCAAGCTAACACCAGTCCATTAATTCTTTCAATTCTTCAATTCTTTTCTTTGGATCATAGATAGTGGTGCTACTGATCATATATGTCCTTCCAAAAAAAAATTCTCATTTCTGACTTCCATTTCTCATGTCCATATCAATCTTCCTAATGGATCTTCTGTTACAGCTTTTGATTCTGGAACAGTTAACATAGGCAGTTTAATCCTTTATCATGTTCTCTATGTACCTCAATTTGAATCTCACCTCATTTCCATTTCCAAACTTATTTCTTCTGATTTTTATGTTGTTCTATTATCAGAACCACACTGTTTCATTTTGCAGAAGAAATCTTTGAAGATGATTGGTCTAGCTAAAAAATTTCAAGGCTTATACTGCTTAGAGTCTTCAAGTCATTTAGTTTGTCATAATGTTTCTAATAATTTCAATTTACTCAATAATGTTGCTCAATCTGAATAAGGAAATATACTAGAACTAGGAAACTAACTAGAATGAGGAAACTATATCCTTATTCCCAACTTCAGTCACTTCCAGTTGTTGACTCTTGGGCCTTTGGACCATTTATGCGTTGTTTATAAGTGTGGCCCCAAAAGGAGTCCACAACATCAACATTTACTAAATAGGTTCATTTTGTATGCTAACACGTCTAACATTCTAACCAATTAACTTATCTAACCTTAGCCTAATCTTCAACAAACAACACTACTTCTCAATATAGAGAATTACATCTGAAGTCTCAACATCTACTAAGTCAAGGTTTAAATACACTCACTGTATTTGCCTCTGGCCGTCTATTGTGTCCAGCCGATAAAAGCTGCATCCCTTGCTAAAAGGAAAATGCCTTCCCTTCCATTCTATTGTGAATCAAACTGTCACCCTAGTTGAAACTTGAAACCAAGAAATGCTACAGTAAAGATTGATAAGATAATACCTAAATGCCATGTAACTCCTATCGCAGAGGAATCCTCTTCTGATATATCATCAATCACAAATTGCAGATCATGTCCAACCGAATAAATAAACTTCTCAAAAAAATTTAGAATGGCCTGAAATGAGAATAAAAGTTCAATCCTAACCCCTTATATGGTTCATACGAGGGGGGTGGAACTTTGGAAGAGTTATAAAATATTAGCTTTGGATCAATAAAGGACTGGTTTTAGTGTAACATGCCAAAATGGCATTTAGTAATTAGTACTACCTCTATCTCACAAAACATGGTCAATTTGACTTTTCTTGGTCAGTTATAGTAAACATTGGACAATGACTTTAGTTATTATGTTTTTGTGAATTTAATAAACTTTATAATTTTTGAAAGTATTTTTAACAAGGGACATTTTCATATAAATCTCATATTTTAAATAATACTCCCTCCGTCCCATTAGAAGGTTCACACTTTCCTTTTTTGGACGTCGCATATAAAGGTTCTCATTTCCATTTTAGGAAACAATTAAAAATCTTAAGGATGTTTTTACTTGGACTGTAATTTGTTGGTCTGATCTGGTCTGATCTGATCTGGTCTGGTCTCTTTGTATTTTTATAACTATCCAAGTCTGGTTTGGTCTGGTCTAAACTAGTCTGGTCTGATCTGATCTGGTCTGGTCTGATCTGGGATGAATTACAATCCAAGTAAAAACATCCTAAGTGACAAATTAATCATTAAACATTAAAAATAATACATTTATAACATCACAGTTATCAATACTAACTACATTATAATATATACCTATTAAAATTATTTCTCAAAATATACCCGAAGTACTTTATTTAATTATTGTCTAAATAACCGTGCCATTTTGCTATGGGAACCTTCCAACAGGACGAAGGTAGTATCATATAAAAAATATTGTCGGTCAAACTTGACCCATCATTGATCAAGAAAAGTCAATATAATCAAGTTTTATAGGAGAAAGGAAGTATTATTGTACTAATTACAATTATACTAATACAAATACAATTATGTGTTTGTGCATAAGAATAATAATGCATAAACAATTTGATAAGTAAGAGTATATAAGTAAAATCATTGCATATGATGAAATATGCGGCTTCCATCAAAACAGAATGCATAAGTGTACATTGACGGGTTGCATAGACTCATGCTCCATAACAAAACAAAAAAGGATTTTGATTCATTTTTTATGTAACAGAAGCATGCATCTGTCAAATTGTGCTTGTATTTGCAATAAATTTTTTGTATTAGCACTGTAGCAGAGCAGTAGTCGGATTGAGATATAAATATATCCTCTCTACAAGCTAATTTGTTGCTATATAACCAGAAGTCCACCATCCCATCCATCATGATTAATTGTCATTTCTAACTGAACCCTAACAGAGGATTTCGTCATGCTACCAGAAATTCTGCATTTATAATTCTAAGTCCATGAGAAGAATACCGGAATACTTTCTAGTGAAATTGAATTTTCCATTAAGGAATGGGTAATATATCAACGCCCATCCGAAGTGGTTCATTGTATAGCATTTTATAAGCATAGAATCCCTCAATCCCCTATACTGAAGGCACTATATGACATCAATTGCCTCTATACTGAAGGCACTATATGACATCAATTGCCTGTCCACTTTTTCCGCAGTGTGATGCACTATTACGTATTACGTTTCTGTGTTGCACATTTTCGCATTGACAGGAAACTTTGACTTATTTACGAAAATGCACTATGGTTCGACTGAAGTTCAAAATGTGCAACAGATCACCTTAAAGTGCATCACATTCGGATAAAAGTGAACGGTTTTTAGTTTTCACTTTAACAAAGGTTTTTATTTGATACAAAACCTATATATATATATATATATATATATATGTAGAGAGAGAGAGAGGGAGGTTCAAATACAAAGTACTACTTATATGAAAAATGAGAAGTAATCTTAGCCGTTAAAATGAGAAAACGAGTGGATCAGATCAATTTTTAAGGGAAAAATTCGGTGTCAAAAGTGTAATTATTAAAAACTTTTTTGAAAACTAACGTGACAAATGTGCATCACTACGGAGGAAAAGTGCATTAGACTAACAATAAAGTGCATTACTTTTTGGGAAAAACATAACAAGTATAAAGATCATTTTTTATGTTTTTTTAGAAGATGTATGTGCACCGTTACATATTGTGTATGCACTTTTCCTATTTATTATGTATTACACATTTTTGTTGATCGTGAGTTTTGATCTATACCATCCATTTTTAAGTAATCAAGGGCTTAGATTAGGGCTTCTGAAAAGTGAGATCAAATACAAACCATGCTTAAAATACTAACCTACAAACTCCATAATATGCATCACTTTGAACTTCAATATGCAGTAAAAATAATGTAAAGATGCAGGGGTGGGATCACATACAAACTAGTCCTCCCATTCAAATCATCTTTGCATTATTTGTATTGCACATTGAAGTTCAAAATGTTTCATATTATTCAAGCCATAAAATAGCAATTTCATGTTTATATTATTTGTATTGCATATTGAAATTCAAAGAGTGCATCTTTACATTATTTGTACCGCATATTAAAGTTCAAAGTGTTGCATATTATTGAGTTTGTAGGTCAGTAAGGAAGGGTCTACAATGTAAATTCAAAACCGCTCCTTGAAAAAGACTGACCTTGCGGCCAACAAAGGGCTGAGGAAAGATGAGATCTTCATACACACAATTCTCAGCTATAAGGCTTTCGACAGCGGCCAAATCGCGGCTGTTGATTCCAGAGTAGAACTTTCTAACCACGCTCGATGCCGATTCCAAGGCGGCGATGCTCAAAGTTGGGGCAGAAGATCTTGAGGAAGCCTGGGCTAGCACTGCTTTCGGGTTGCAGCTTTGCCCAACTGACTTCGCAACTGGACGGATGACGACGGAACTTCTGGCCTTAGGGAGAAAATAACCGGTGTCAGCTGTTGACAGGAAGTCTTTGGAAGGAAGACGAAGGAGGGATAGACAGGGGGGAAATAACCGGTGGCAGCTGTTGACAGGAAGTCTTTGGAAGGAAGACGAGGGAGGGATAGACATTATCATCGCCGACTAAACCTTCTATTTTGTGGCTGTGTGCAACGGTGCAATTGTTAACTTGGGTGGTCTCTGAAAGAAGGTTTGTCCCATTTTTTGTCTTTTTTTCTCAAATAATGTTAAATAAAAAAATATATACAAAATTAGGGTTGAGTTAAAACTACTCCTTCCGTCCCTTAAAACTTTGTCATCTTTCCTTTTTGGAACGTCCCAAAAAACTTTGTCACTTTCCTTTTTAATCAATTATTTTGTGGTTTATGTTATTTCTCTCTCCTCTGCACAAACCTCAATCACACAGTTTTTACTTTATTATTCTCCGTGTCGGTCAACTTTGGCAAAGTTTTAAGGGACAGGGGTAGTATTTAACAAAATATTGCTGGAATAAATACTAGTTAATCAAAGTTGCCATATCAGTTGGCGACTTAAGGAGATTTTGCCATTTTCGGTTCTCCGACTATTATGCAGTAACACTTTTGGCATTCGACTTCTAATTTTTCCCATTTTATTCTTCGACTATTGTGTTAGAGACATTTTTAGTTTTCGACTTCAAGGTATCCCACATTTAGCCTCTTGAGTATTGTCAAATTGACACTTTTAGTCCTCCCAATATGATTTTGACACACTAAGTAGATGACTAAAAATGTCACTATCATAATAGTTGAAGGCTCAAAAGTGTTACATTTATGAAAGTTGAAAGACTTAATATGGAAATTTTTAAATACGGGTACCAAAAGTGTCTCTAGCGCAACAGTCGAGGACTAAAAGGGAAAAAAATTAAAGTCAAGTACCAAAAGTGTTAATAGCATAATAGTCAGAGGACTAAAAGTAGAAAAAACTCGCGACTTAAGCTTAAATTCTTAAATTCGTAACTCACACACGCAACAAACTAAAAAAGAGCTGGCCAATAGAAATAGTCTATGCACCCGCCCAAACTTAAAAAATCCCTCTTTTTTTAAATGGTTATAAGTTTTTATTTATAATCCGATTTTCATAAAACATAGGGAAAATCGCATGTATGGTCCCTCAGTTATCCACGAAATTAAAATCTCAGACATGTATTTCTGAGATTGTAAATGTCACCCCTCAATTGTCTAAATTGTTGTAAATGTGATCGTTTAAGTAGTTAAATGTACTCTCGCTCACGTTGTATATTTCACCCCTTAAAATGATCACATTTACAGCATTTTGGACAATTGAGGTGACATTTACAAACTCAGAAATACAGGTCTGAGATTTTAATTTCGTGAATAACTGAGGGACTTAATATGTTCTAAAGTTAAGATTTCATAATTTCTTAGAGCTCGTTTGGTAACACTAAAATTGACTGAATCGGTCGTTCCGGTGAAGTTTATTAAGTTTTGGATAAAGTGCCTGAATTAGCTGATATTGTTGATTCAACCTTAATTTTTCTTACTATTACATAATTTAAGTCAATTATTTAAACAAAACCGATCTGATCTAGTCTAATGACTCCTTATTGACACTTTCGACCAATAAATTAAATATCCAGTAATTAGAACATGAAATTGCGGTATACAACCGTGAGTTCTAATTTTAGAACATGAATTTATTTAAAAAGTTTTGAGCCTAAAACCACCACCGTACCCATCAAATCTTTAGATCTAATTTTATTTTTTATATATTCAATATCGATGACAAAAGTTTTTTCTAAAAGGGAAATTTTATTTATTGACATTAAGAGCCCGTTTGGTGACTTTTTTTAGGCTTATCGGGTTTATTAGCTACTTTTTTCATCAAATATGTAACTTTTGATTTCGTACGCTGAATTGTGTAATAATAAGAAAAATTAAGGTTGAAGTTACTTTTCTAGTTGTATTGACTGAAGTTACTGTAGATGACCCTTTTAACTATTTCTTCATATAATTTTTATTTACCTTAATAATAAAAAATATTTTATATACTCTGTATAATTTTTTCATAAATCAACAAAATCAGTCAATTCAGACATTTTATCCAGAACTGAATAAACTCCGGTCGAATCGATCGATTCAGTCAATTTAAGTGTTACCAAACGAGCTCTACGAAATTATGAGCTCTTAATTTTAGAACATTGATCTACTTAAAAAAGTCAATAGCTTAAAAAACCTCCACTCATTGTATCTTCAGAATTTTTTTGATTTTATATATTGAATATTGGTGTCATATGAAAGGTAATAAAAAGTTATGAATTTTGATATATTTTTTATGAAAATTGGATTACAAATTAAAAACTTATAACCATTAAAAAAAGGATTTTTTTAGGTTTGGGTGCATGAACTATTTATATTGGCCAACCCTTTTTAGTTTGTTGTGTGCTTGAGTTGCGATATTAAGGATTTAAGCGTAAGTGGCCAACCGATTTGGGGACTTTGGTTAACTAGAGTTTATTCCTGCAGTATTTTGGTAAATAATTTTAACTCAACCTTAATTTCGTATATTTTTTTAGCATTATTTTGGGAAAAAACTCGCAAAAATGGGTGGACATACTCGGTACATTATCTACTCGGGTCACTTACGTAAAGAGAAGAGTGTCTCAAGTTGGGAGCATGTTAATTTAGTACGAAATTGTATTAGCGTGTTTAAAACACTTTGGCTAAGAATTAGGCTATTTTTGTTGAAAACTAGTTCCGGATTAAATGTGGCATGTTGGCCCACAAAGTTTAACCTAAGCCATCTCTTTGCTCGGTAGAAGTCAACGATGCCCTCTATCTTAACTGAGATTCCATCTCAAGGGCTGGGGAGAAAAACCAACGATGGCGCCTGTATCCAAAGTCGGCAAAGAAAATAGAAGGGGCACCTTGGGCTAGGTCGTGGGAGGACCTCTGACTCTCTGTTACTGGTGCGCCCTAGGGCGTTGTAGCCTCGAACTTCGTCTTTATTCCAGGTAGGGACTCCCACCTAGAATACATGGACACATTGAAAGTTGTGTGAGAGGGGACTGTGTTATCGTCCTGAAGTTGAACGACCTTCGTCCACGACTGCCGCCGAGGTAGACAAGCGACCTTGATCTGCGAAACGATGGCGGCAGATTTGCCGGGCCGGAAATTGACGTTGCGTTTAGCTGCTGAAGCTGCAATGAAGTAGGCGGCTAGGGGAGCTGCGGCAGAGAAGAAATCCTGGGCAGAGCTGCACTGAAGTGGGTAGGGGCCAAGGGTTGGACTCCACCATTAATTTACCGCACAAACCTAATTATTATCAAATCAGCGTTTTAAACGTGGTAATACGAGCGGTACTAAATTAACAATGATTTTTCAATTTTATGTATTTCTGAATCATAGTTGCACTGTGTACTCTTTGCTCCACAGCTCCCAATTTGATGTACTCATGTGACCCTTTCTCCTCATGTAAATAACAGTCTATTTGGTGACTCTGTTTTTTGACTTATCAAACTTATCAGCCGAGTTTTTAACCGAACACATAACTTTTGATTTTGCGCAACGAAATAAAACTTAGATTGTGGGAAAACAATCCATACCGTAGGATCGATCGTATGAGAGGTAAATGAGAAAATAAGACTGTGCAGACTGGCAGCTCACTAACCATTTTTGAGGCGATTAGGTCTGCCCACCCAGTCTTTAGGGCTCACGAATGCTTACCCGACGACCAGTGTCATCTTGTCTATTAGTGCCAATACTATTTCTTTGAATGCGTTAACCGCTTTCAATCAGAGTAGCGACACACCAAGAGGTTCATTGGTCACTTACGACAACAGTTGTTTGGCTTCTTTGACCCGGCATAAGCCTTCAGCGTTTGAGAATACCCTGCGTAGATGAGTGAGCCTTCGGCGGTTGAGAATACCTTGCGAGCCTTCGGCGATTGAGAATACCTTAAAGAGAAAATAACTTCATACTCCCTCCGTCCCGCTAACAATGGGACAAGAGGGAGTGACACACAAATTAATAAAAAGTGGTTTATGTGGTTGATATTGAATTGATAAAGTAAGAATAAAGTAAGAATGATTTAGAGTCACACAAATTTTACTAAATTTGATATGGGACAATTTTAGTGGGACGGACCGATAAGGTAAAATAGGACAATCATAGCGGGACGGAGGTAGTAACTCTTATAGTACGTAGAAAAACTTCAACATATTTACAGTCTGCCGCTTTTGACCACTCGGCCACTCTCCCCTTCTCGGACCGAGGCCCCCTTCAATAGGTTTTAATTCTAAGAAAGGGGACGCCCAAAAAGCTTATTGATTGAATTGAAGGGAACTCACACTATTAGCTTAGCTAGTGTTCCGCAAAGATTGGCTAAAATTGACTTTCACGTGGATTAATAAAAATAAAGTAAAAATTGTGTGGTTGAAATTTGTGCAGAGGAGAGAGAATTAATTTTAGTCAAATATTTCTTACTTTAAATGGAAATGGCAAATCTTTTTAGGACATTCAAAAAAGGAAATTTGGCCACCCTTTTCGGGACGGAGGGAGTAATACGAAAAAGTAAGGTTGGAATACTTTTCTAGCTGTATTGGCTGAAGTTATTGTAGATGATCATTTTAGCTATTTTTCATATAATTTTTTCTTTATTTTATTAAGAAAATATATTTTAAATATAATTTTTTAATAAATCAGCAGAATCAGCTAAAACAGCCACTTCAGTCAAAACTTCATAAATTTCAGCAGAATCACCCGATTCAGCCGATTTCAGTGTTACCAAACAAGCTCTAAGTTTTATTTTGATAATTATTTTGGAAAATCTCTTATAAAATACATAATTTTTTTATTTCACACTGAATTTTATTATAATCAAAGTATGTAAGATTAAAGTTACTTTTCTGATTGAATTGACTAAAATTACTGTGGAGAATCATGTTAGCTACTTTTCATATAATTTTTTCTTTATTTCATTAAGAAAATATATTTTGAATTTAATTTTTAATAAATTAGTAAATTCAACCAATTCAGTGATTTCCACCAAAACTTCATAAATTTGAGCAGATTCAACCGATTCAGCCAATTTCATTATTACCAAATGGACTCTTAATCTTCGAATGAAGTTACTTTGTCGTTGTTACAACAAAAACATTCAAACCTTAGTCCCAAGAGATTTTGGGGTCGACTAACATGAATCGATGCATGATATCGTAACCAAAAC